ACAACAAGTACTCCAGGGCGATGGTGGTGCGCGTCCACCTGGACCAGGCCGTGCCCCATTTGGGGGGCTCCTTCAACGTCATGGCGGTGCACGTCCACCACAGCTTGGCCAACCAAGACTGGGGCGTCACGAAGCTCCATGAGTTCTACAACTGGTTCGTCGCCTACGTCAGGGAATGGGACGTGAAGGTCTGCATGGGGGACTTCAACATGTGCATGTTCCAGCTTGTGTCCTGGTGCCGCAATTGCGGCCTGACTGTGGACGTCGCCGCGTGGACCCCCTGGAAGACAGCAGGCGGCCAGCCCAGGGCAGACAGCATGGCGATTTTGTTCATAAACTGTCCTGGGCAGTACAAGCTTCACCATGGCCTGAGTGTTCTGCACGACCGTGAGGGCGGATTCTTGACGACCCAGCATGATCCGTCTTTCCCTGTCTTCGACTACACGAATGGCCCTGGGAAGATGCTTCAGACTTACGTGCCCAAGGCTGAGCCCGTTGAAAACAAGATGCGCGCCTTCCTGACGCCATCTGGCGAATCCTTGACCGCAGATGCGGAGTTCGAGCAAAGGATGGCGCGCAGGGAACGCGACGATTGGGTGCGCTATCCCTTCAGAGTGAAGCAGGGCAACCTCGACGACAAGATATGGCATGGCGCCTTCGGCAGGGCGAGGCACGGAACGCACTTCCCTCTGGTGGCTTTCACGCACAATACGTGCCGCAGGTCACCTGAAAGACTCGCCGCGAGGTTGGAACGCAGGAAGGGCGGCAGGAAGGGCGGCAAGAAGGGCGGCAAGAAGGGCAGCTACGCGGACACCGCAGTTGCGGGGAAGGGCGTCCGACCCCAGATGGGAACCGCAGTTGCGGGGAGAGACGCTGGGGCTGAGCGAGCTGGGAACACGCCACCGCCGCAAGCTGCCAACGGCGACGATGCGACCCCTTCTTGTGCCGCAGTGGCGGCTGGGTCCTGGGACGCCAGCGGCAGCGGCGCATGGGAGGCGCGCAGTCCCGCCACGAGATGGCAGGGCTGGTCCTGGTGGGACTGGAGCTCGAGCGAATGGGGCGCTGATGGCGCGCAGTGGTGGCCCTCTGATCATGCCGCAGTTGCGGACAATGCCCCTGAGGGCTCGCCTCCTCAGCGTGAAGTCGAGTGGGGCTCGAGCGGGCGACCTGCCGAGCGCCCTCCGTGGAGCTTCGAGGCGCAGCGTTGGTGATGGCCGCAGTTGCGGGCAAGTGGAGCATGATGTTGATTGCCGCAGTTGCGGACAGTGTACGCTGGAAAAATCATCATCATCATCAATCATAATCATCATCATATCATCATATCATACGTTCAAAGCAGTGCCGGGGCACTGCTTTCGATCGTCGCCTCGTCGCCGTTATAAGGGCTTTCGGATTAGTGACCCCCCCCCGGTTTTCGAGCGGGAGGGGGGGGGGGGGGGGGGGGGGGGGGGGGGGGGGGGAGGGTCAGGGGAGAAGGGGGTTTTGCCGGGGGAGAGGGGGGGGGGGGGGGGGGGGGAGGGGTTCCAGCAGGGGTGGGGGGGGGATTTTCAGGAGGGGGGGGGGGAGCGACCCCTGGGCTCCGGAGGAAAAGGTTGGCAATTTTCCACAGTAAAGCGGCGGTGGATCACGCTCTCTCAAATCATGGCAACCGTGCGTGTGTCCTCGCAACTCCGTCTTTAGAATACGTTAGCGTGCGCAAGCGTCTGCTAATCGATGAGACAGCGCCGATTCAGTGTTGATAAACCTCCCTGAAGCGTCGATTAGTGTCGATTTAGCTTCGATTCGCAAGAGCCTAAGAGCCAGCAGGATGGTGTGGTAGGCCCCCATGAGCTGCCGCAGAAGGGAGGCAGGATACGGGGAGGGAGCCTGAGATCCAACTCAGCGTAACAAGTGCGATATCGTGACACCTCACGATCAGAACTCCGAACCCCGTTTGTCTGCCTCATTTTTCGAGCCATATTGATATGTGAGGGTCCTGGGTGCCGAAACCGAGCGAAAACGCCCTCCTCCTCCTCCTCCTCCTCCTCCTCCTCCTCCTCCTCCTCCTCCTCCTCCTCCTCCTCCTCCTCCTCCTCCTCTTCCTCCTCGTATTCCAGAATGCAGAGACTGGAAGCCAACAAGAGGTGGCAAGCTCGACGTGGCCCGCTGGCCAGCATGATACTCCTGCTCTGGGAAGTCGGCTGGGACTCCAGAGGGCCCGACACCTGGATCGACAGGAACGGCGACTACTTGAAGTTCGGCACGGAGGAGCAGGGAGGCGACTACACCGAGATTGTTGAGGCGTTCCTCGACGACCTGCAGGATCAGCTGTGGGAGCAGGCCGCGCAGCACCACAACGGCGCTGGCCTGGAGAGAGGAGCGGACGTCAAGGACCTGAAGCACCACCTCAGGATGCTGGCCAAGAAGGAGCGCTACGGCTACTACGGCGCGCTCCTAACCGCGGCTTGCGCAGGCACCTGGACGCATCGCCGCAAGCACGACACCTTCGGCGGCGACGAGGCGAGATGCGAGTGCGGAGAGGCCGAGGATGACGTGCACCGCATCTGGGGCGCCTGCACAGCTAGGGAGGACAGCGAGGCAGTGAGGCGCAGCAGCGGCCTTACCAGGAGGGCGCTCGAGGGTTGCGAGACCAACCCCGCGTTCTGGCTTCGGGGCATCACCCCCAAGAGCTGGACCGTGCCGCCGAGATGCGACACCCTGCCCGCAGAGCACCTCGTCGGCGCCTGCAACTCCGAGCGCCGCCTCCGCGCAGACGAGGGGCGAGAGCTCACGGCATGCGGGGACGGCTCAGGAGGCGAGTACAGCGCGGACGAGAGATACTGCAGGTGCGGCTGGGGCTGGGTGCTGCTGGGCGACGGCGACGAGTTCGAGCAGATCGGCGCACGCTTTGGGCCTCTCCCAGGAGCTCGGCAGTCCAACAACCGCGCCGAGCTCTACAGCTTCCTGAGCTTCCTGCGCGCGACCGAGGGCAGAGTCACCTTCTGGACGGACAGCGAGGTCACGTGCACGGGCTGGGCTGCGCAAAGGGAGAAGACCCAGGGCCAAGGGCACAGCAACGGCGACCTGTGGTTCCAGGTCGGTGAGGCGATTAGAGAGCGAGGAGGAGACAGGAGCGACATCACCATGAAGCACCTGAACAGCCACATGACGGAGCACGAGGCGATGGCGAAGGGCGTGCCGAGGCGAGTCTGGGCGGGTAACAAGGCAGCTGACGAGTACGCAGAGGCAGGAGCTGCGACGCACGCGATCAGCGACTCGGAGATGAGCTGCTACGAGTGGGTGCGCGCCACGGCCCATTTGGTGAGAGAGCGCATCGCGGCCACCACCGCTGCAGTGCTCGCCAGAAGGCCGCCCGACGACAAGGAAATGAGAACGGCAAGAAAGAGGCTCGCGCAGCAGAGGCGTCAGGACCGCCTCTTGAAGCGCGACCTGCTCGGCGGCGAGGCGACCAGGAGACCACCGACGTCGCACATCCTGGAGCGTGACAAGCGAGGCACAGGATGGAGGTGTCAGCATTGCAGGGAGGCGGTCAGCTGCAGCACGGCGACAGCGACCATCCGCGACTGGATGGAGAAGCCGTGCGGGGGGCCACCTCCGCTGAGAGCCATCACCATCACGAGGTACGGAGTGGAGTCGCACCCGACACACCAGCTGAGGAGGTTGCTCGACCAAGACCGCTGGTTCTGCGAGCGGTGCGGAGGAGCGACGACGGAGCTGATCGCCGCGAAGCTGCAGGAGCCCTGCTGCGGTCACACAGCCTGCAGCAGTGGACGCTACAGGCTCGAGGGCTGGCTGAGGCAGGCCGCCAAGGAGGGCGGAGCAGGACAGCGGGCAACGCCACACGAGACCTACGCGGACGGCGAGCTGAGGGGTCAGATCGCAAGTCCAGCGGCGGTGCTCCTCGAGCCGTCAGCGGGCTCACCGCCGCCAGAGACGCAGCCACCAGTCGTGATCTGCGCGGACGGCGAGCTGAGGTGTCAGAGCGCTAAATCCATGTCGGTGCTCCTCGAGCCGGCCGCTGGTGCTCGTCGCCACTGCAGCCCGTCCCATGGCCAGGGCTTCGCTCAGGGTCAGAACGCAAATCCAGAGGCGGTGCTCCTCGAGCCGCCAGCGGCGTTCCCCGAGCTGCCCGCGGGTCCAGCGTTGGCACGATCGGACGAGCAGGTGAGGAGGGCACGCACCGATGAGGAGCAGCAGCAGGAGGCGCAGCGACTACTGCAGACCGCAGCGAGGCTGGCCAACACCAGCGTGCAGCCCCAGCACGACACCGTGCAGTACGCCACGCAGGCGGAGGACCTCGACGTCGCTGAGGCAGAGGCAGCGAGGGCGAGGGCCATGCTGGAGGCCGAGAGGGAGAAGGCAGCTGTGCAGCGAGGCGAGAGGCCTCGGCAAAGGAGAGCCGCGCGAGAGGCCCCTCTGCCTCTCGCAGAGCTGAGGCGCCTGCTGGAGGGTGGCGAGCAGCGGGAGAGGCGACCTGCGCGTGCCTCGCGTCAGTCGGACACGCGAGGCGGAGGCGAGAGGATCCAGCCAGCTGGCGGCGGTGGCCTGACGGCGGTGCGGTGCGAGGCACGCGGCGAAGCGGCAGCTGGACTGCCTGCAGGTCTTGCGGGGCATGCACCTCGCGCTGATCCAGGGTGTGGTCCAGGCCGTGAAGCCCGTGCTGCGGCCGCCCCGCCGCCCCGCGCAGCTGCGGTGCCGCCAGAGGAGGACGGCGGTGCCGCAGAGGAGGCAGGCTGCGGCCGCCAGAGGAGGACGGCGGTGCCACAGCTGCGGCCGCCAGAGGAGGAGGGCTGCGGAGCGCAGCTGCGGTGCCGCAGCTGAGGCGGGCGCCGCCACGCCGCCGCGCGCGCCCGCGCGGCGGCCGCCACGACGCTGGCGACACGAAAGGGTCGAAAGGGGCTCCTCCTCCTCCTCCTCCTCCTCCTCCTCCTCCTCCTCCTCCCCCCCCGCCTCCCCGGGATCGCAGGGGAGGAGCCGCCCACCCCCCCTTCCCCGACGAGGTGGAACTGCGCCCTCCGCGAGGGCCACGCCGAGCGCGTCGGCCCCGACATGCGCGTCGTGGAGGCGGCCGCCGGCCGCACCCCCGCGGCGCGCGCGTGCGTGCTCGGAGCGGTCCCGCTTCCCTCTGGCTCGTCCCTGCAGTCGGGGGCGGCAGAGAGGGGGGGAGGATGACTACGTAGGGGGTAGGGGGGGGGATGACAACGTAGGGGGGTGATGACTACGTGGGGGCGGCAGAGAGGGGGGGGTGATGATCACGTAGGGGGGCAGGGGGGGGGGGGATGCCATGGCGTGGACCGAGAGAGGTTCTCCAGACCTCCTGGCGCCCCTGCTTACCTCAGGACGTCCCCGGCCCCCCCCCCATGGGCCGCGCACGTGCCTCCGGGCCACGACGTGCGCCCCCCCCCCCCCTCTTGGACGCTGCCCTCCCGGCAGCCCCCGACTGCAGGGAGCGTCGGGCACCGAGGGTCATTGGTCGAGGACCGAGGTTCGACCCTATTTTCGCCACGCCGACGTCGCCGATGCATCGCCGGCGTCGTTGGTGCATCGCCGATGCACCGCCGACGCATCGCAAATGCATCGGGGATGCATTGGCGATGCGGCGCGATCCTCCGACCCCATCTACTGCGACCCCATCTAGGAGGCCTCTGGTCCTGGAGGTCCCAGAGAGGTCCAGGAGGAGCCCCCGCGGACTTCGGGAGACTTCCAGAGGGTCCAAATGTCATGACACGGGTCGGCACAGCTCTTCGCCTGGGGCAGCGCCGATCGGGAGAGGATCGCGAGGCTCTCGTCGCTCGGCGCACGTGCTAAATCATCGTAGGTGGCCGGCCACCCTCTCGGAGTCCTCCGTGGAGCATCGGGAGGTTTTCGCGTAGAGGTTGCGTGCTTGCGCCACCTCCTTCTCCTCCTTCTCCCCCTCTCCTCGTCGTCCTCCTCCTCCGCCTCCTCCTCTTCCTCCTCCTCCTTCTCCTCCTGCCCCCCTCCTCCTCCTCCTCCTCCTCCTCCTCCCTCCTCCTCCTCCTCCTCCTCCTCCGCCTTCTCCTCCTTCTCCTCCTCCTCCTCCTCCCTTTCTCCTTCTCCTCCCCCCTTCTCCTCTTCCGCCGCCTCCTCCTCCTCCTCTTCCTCCTCCTCCTCCTCCCTATCCTCCGCCTCCTCAGCGAAGCGGGGGGCGCCGTAGGTCAACGGCCGCTACAACAGCGCCATGCAGCTGATAGCCGCCTGCCGGGAGCAGGAGGCGCGCTCGGGCGGCAGGAGCGGGCGGGAGTCCCTCGAGCAGAGTTTGCACGAGGGGCTCTTGGGATTGCAGGAACTGGCCTGCGCTTGCGCCTCCTCCTCCACCTCCTCCTCCTTATCCTCCTCCCCCTCCTCCCTTCCTCCTCCTCCTCCTCCTCCTCCTCCTCCACTCCTCCTCCTCCTCCTCCTCCTCCTCCTCCTCCTCCTCCTCCTCCCCCCCTTCTCCTGCTCCTCCTCCTGCTCCTCCTCCTCCACCTCCTCCTCCTCCTCCGCCTGCCCAGTGGGGGGCGCCATAGGTCAACGGCCGGAGTCCCGCAAACAGAGCTTGCACGAGGGGATCTTGGGATTGCAGGAGCTGGCCCCCTGCTGCAGAGTTTTCGCTGGGCAGGGAGCTCGTTGGCGCCTCCTGGGCGCTCCGTGCGCCGGCCGGCGTTGCCGCACTTCTGGCTAGTCGGCCCCCTCGGGCGCCTCGTGGGGCGTCTTGTGTGCGGACCTGCGCTCTGAGGCTGCGCCCTCCCCCTTTCCTCCCCCTCAATGGCTAATTCAAGCTTCGCGCGGCCCGCTTAGCTTCGACCGGAAGAGGTGGGCGCTCGACCCGCGAATCAAAACATTGTATGCGGACCTGCGTCTCCAGCCGCGCGGGCGGTGAGCGCGCTGTGGGCGCCAGCTGCCTTGGCTGGCGTTGCCGAACTTTCGGCCGGTGGGCGCCTCGTGGGCGCCTCGTGGGCGGTTTGTGCGCCGGCTGGTGTTTCTGGACTTTCGGCCCGTGCCCGCCTCCGATCGCCTTGTGGGCGCCTCCTGCGCTGGCTCGCATTTCCGGATGCACGCACGATCGCAGCACATGGCACCGCGCAAGTTGCACCACATGACTAATCAGCAGCCGAAATATGGTGTTGCAGCGTAAGCCTTATTCAAGATAAAATGAAGCATTGATATTTCGCCGCATCGTTCGCACAACATAGTTTGCGCGTCTTAGACCTTCGATTGTACCAGACAGCTTGCACCTCATCGGAAACTGGAACGTATACATTACCAGTGGCGGGCTGTTTCTTGAATCCCAGGACTTTTTGAGGGTCGGGAATGACGCTGGGGTGGTGTGGCGTAAACTTGTTTCCCCGATGTCCCGGGCAGACAACGAAAAATGTATACACCAGGATCCCGCATACACCAGAATCCGCGTTCCTGTGCGAATTTGAGCGCAGGGTCGGGAAAAGCGTCGGTGTATAGAGTTCGTTTCTCTACCTCATACATTGCACCGCGTGATGTGCCACATAGATTTCGTCCTACTTTAGGAGGAGGCTGAAAGAGGAAGAGGAGGACATTCGCCTCCAAGGGGGGGGGCTCGAGGGGGGGTCAGGAGGCGAGGCAGCACCAGAAGCGCAGACGGAGGGTCCAGAACCGGCCATCCAGGCGATGCCGACGAGCGTCACAAGAGCCGACGCCACCCTGCAGGAGCCCCCAGGAGGAGCCAGTGTCCGGGCGGCGCCTCGGGGCAACACGAGCGCAGATGCAGGCGCGTGCACCAGCGGCGGGCCCCGCATCCACGCGAAATCGACGCGCGCCATCGCCAGGTCCAGCGGCAAGCGGCATGTCTCGAGGGGTACGCCCAAGTCGGGCCTCTCCCTCTACAGGAGGAGCGTTCAAACATAGTACAAGGATAGTCTGGGGACGATTTTTCTCATGTTTTTGTTTTGCTATGTTTCAACTTTTCGTCCAACATCCCCCTGTAGGAGGACATGCCCGACCTAGGGGTACTCCAGATTTTGTAATAAAAGGGAGGGGGTCACAACCCTCCCAGACGAGAAGTTCTATACCCCCCAGACTATCCATGAAAGGGCGGCCCTTTGCCCAGACCCCCCGGAACCCTCCAAGACAGCTCAAATTAGACCCCCCCCCGAATGTGACCCGCCCCACTTTGTTATGGAATCCGGAGTACGCTCCCCGATCCGTGGATCTGGCGCCCACGCGCCAGATCCAGAGGTGCCCAGTCCATGTCGGCGCGTGCCCGAGGGTTGGGGACGGCCCCGATCCCCAGCACTCGGGGCCCTTCCGTCTCCTCTCCTCGGGCCTCCGCTGTGCTGGCCCGCTGGAGCGCGCCTTTGGATCGTCGCGCTGTGCCTTGTGGCCCAGGCCGGTGCTGAGAACGGCCCTGGGACGGAGGTGTCACTCCCGTCCCCCTTCGTGGGCACGTCCCCCCGACCCCGCTCGAGGCTGGAGGAGGCGGTGGAGGGAGGCGAGGAGGGAGGAGAGCGAGACGAGGGAGGGAGGGCGCTGGAGAGGACGGTTCGAGCGAGGGGGAGAACGACAAGGAGGAGGCGTAGGAGGGATGGGGAGGTAGAGGGAGGAGGCGGCGGAGGGAGTTGTAGGAAGAGGGAGGATGAAGGAGAGGGGGACGAGGAGGAAGACAGGGGATGAAGTCAGGGAGGCGAAGGAGGGTGGCGGGAGGGGCAGGAAGGAGGAGGGGGTGTGAAAGGATTCCAGGAGGTTTTCGGGATTTCTGGGGCGGCGGGGAGGATGATGCTGGGAGGAGGAGGACCAAGAGGAGGAGGAGGACCAAGAGGAGGAGGAGGAGGAGGAGGAGGAGGAGGAGGAGGAGGAGGAGGAGGCGTGGGGGAGGAGGAGGAGGCGGAGGAGGAAGAGGAGGAGGAGGAGGAGGAGGAGGAGGAGGAGGAGGAGGAGGAGGAGGAGGAGGAGGAGGAGTTGGAGGAGGGGGATTAGAGGTTGGAAGGAGAAAAGGGAGGGTGAAGAGGGACAAGGGGGAGTGAGTGAGGTGGCCCAGGCAGTCGCACAGTGACATTTGATCCTTGCCCCTCTCACCACCAGCTTCTGCCTGGGCTTTGTTTTCTCGAGTTGTCGGCCTTTTTTGTTGTCTCTCTCTCTCTCTCTCTCACACTATATATATGCACATAGGCAATTATATACACCTATCTACATATATATATATACACACCCATACATCTGCGCATGCACACCCATATACATATACGTATGCATACATCTACAAATATGTATATGTATGTGTGTTCAGACATATGCTCTCTCCATCCACTCTACAGCATCACATATATTCGTGCGTGTAAATATACTTACGCAGGGCAAAAGAGTTTCCTCTTGAGGTGCACATGGCGATGATGACTTGTAATTTATTGACCGAGCCCCCTTCCCCCGTATAATCTTGACACGGGTGGGTTCTGGGGTCCGCGGATCGGATTGTTGCTGGTTCCCCGTTCTAACTCAATAAGATACAATGTTAAACGGGGTAAATGTGAATCTGCCGTAGACAACAAGACCGAACACGGATCCAGCAAATCCGACATCGGATCCGCTCGGACGGAAGTCGGATCCACCGAAAAAACACCAAAGCCACACTTGGATCCGCGCGAACTTCATGGGATCCGATGGTGGTTATCTCATACGAGTCTGCTCAAGACTTGAAGCCGTCGTTCCGGGCCCAAGAGGAACACTTTTCTGTCCTTGGGATGTACGCACACATGTTATGCAGTTTCAGTTATCTCTCTATATGTATGTACGTATGTATGTGTGTATGTATGTATGGATAGATGTGTACATATCTATAATTATTGTTGAAGAGCCAGGTTGGCAAGATGGACCTTCTAGAGACCCTCTGGCCGGGCCTTCTAGAGGCTCCCAGAAACCCTCGAGAGTTCCCTGAGAGGCCCTCTCTAGAGGTCGCTGTAGAGTTCCCATAAACCCGCTAGAGCTCTTTAGAGCCCTTTACTGAGACGGAATTGTCCATGTGTCCTTTCGGCGCTTGCGAGCGCTCCCCACAGATCACTACATGTCGCTTCTGCGCCTTTGAAAGTTCGCGCATCTTCTCGCCCTAGGAGATCTTCCTGAGGCCGAAAACGCAGAACAGCTAAAACGCACAAAAGCTTTCGCATGGAAAACAAACAACGGCGTCGGAGTTCTAAGTCATCAGTTATCACCGCTCCTCCTGCCATCGGCAGCGTCGCCCTCCCTACTGCCCCCCCCCCGCCCATATCCTTCTCCTGCGCTCCCCAGTCACGCCCGCTGTGCAGAGCTGCTTCCTGAGGCTCCCAACATCGTTCATCACGCTTCCTTTCCCTCTCTCTTCCTCCTCCCCTTCCCCCCTCCTGCAACCTTCCCCGCGCGCCGCGGAGTCTTTCCGCGCCAGACCAACCTGCTACATCATGGATCCAACGGCGCAGCGTAGCAAGCCAGCGAAACTTTGTATGTCTGTACGTGTATATATATATAGAGAGAGAGAGAGAGAGAGAGAGAGAACATCCAGACCTACATACATACGTACAGAGAAACAGCCAGCCAGCCAGCCAGCCAGCCAGCCAGCCAGCCAGACAGACAGACAGACAGACAGACACATACACATCTACAACGGCCTTCGTCTCATCCAGCTGCCGTTCTCGGCTTGTGCGCCAGAGTTCTCAAGGGTGTTCCTTGGGTCTCTTCGGAGCGCTCTCGGGAACCCCTCTTGGGGGCAGTTTTGGCTGGGGCCTCCTGGGGGGCAAGCTCTTGGGGGCCTCGTCAAGCTCTTTGGGGCCCCCCTTGGGACCTCCTGGGGGCTCCGCGGGGCCGAGGGGAGCTCGACGCGTCCGCTCGGGCCCCCCCTCGGGGCCCCCCCTCCTGGAGCCGGCTAAGGCCTCTTGGGCCGTCGTGGGCGGCCCTTGGGCCGTGCTGGGGTCCTCTTGGGCCGCTCGGGGGCTCCTTCCTGGAGGCCCTGTACCGCTTTGGGCTGTGCTTTTCTGTTGTGCGCAAGAGGGGACTGTGGCTCCGAGATCGCAGGTTCCGGGTAATTTTTCTGTTACGGGTGTGCGTGATTGTTGGGGGGCGCGGAAAACGTTTCATGTGCAAGGGATCGTGGTTTCGGGGACGCAGATATTGCGTAACTCACGAGAGCGTGTTGCATCGGAAACGCGAATCGTGTTTACTCTCCAAGAAATTATGGCCTCGGGAGCGCGAACACAACGTAATGTGATCCCGGGTTTAAGGCCTCGTGGACGCGAATGTAAAGTACTCTACTAAGGGTCACGGCCTTGGGGGCGCGAACGCGGCGTACTTTACGCGGAATGGTCGCCTCGAGGGCGCGAGTCGTCGATTCTTACGTGTTCCAGGACACGATAGGGATTCTGAGAACCCCGCCGGGTGAAGGTCATCAGAGCCCTTTTCGCCCCCCCCCCACCCTCACGCGGAATTCAACAGTTCACGGCAGGAAGCAGAACACGTGATTGTAACATTGCCACATTGTGAGAACGACCCCTCAATCCGTGAAACGCCTGCAAATGTTTATAACGAAAGTGCGCGGCGCCAATGCGAGAGCCACCTTTTGGAAGCAACCCGCCCTCCATCTGTGAAGCGAATGCAAGTTTCTAAGCTTCAGGCTCTTAAGTGGTAGGGAAGTCTCAGGCGAAACGCCCAGCCCACCCTTCCGACTGGCCTCGGGGTGCGACAGGAAGGAGTTACTCATAAGGAAAAGGAATGGAGGAGGAGGAGAAGGAGGATGAGAAGGAGACAGGAAACAGATGAGCGGGAATCGACAATAAATGTGTTTGGTGGTGCGGGGCGGGTCGATCAGATGTGTACATGTCGACATGTGTATATATATATATATATATATATATATATATATATATATATATACAAGACTGCATTGGCGCTGCGCGCCATGCACCTTGGTCTTTTGAGTTCTGCACGCAAGCGGAATGCGTGCGTGCGAACATGCGCGCATGCATGTATACACGCGCACGTGCATGCACGTTCCGTATAAATGTCTAGGTGTATACAATATACTTTCATTGTTGTATGTGTATGCAGCGTACATCTGTACATTAAATTTCTGTGTGAATGAGGGTATGAACATGCATACGCAACTCGTACGGGGCATCCTCGGGCATTTTCGCTGCATGCCACGAGACCCTCAACGACTGGGTCACAATATGAAATGTCATGGAAGCAAATTCAATTAATGCTGGCATTCGGAAACATCGTGGGGGTGTTTTCGGGGCCCTCGTGGGCCGTTTTGGCGCCTTCATGGGCCGTCTTAGGGCCTTCTTGGGCCGTCTTGGGGAGCTTGGGCCCGCTGGAGCTCCCTTTGGACCCATCTTGGGCACTTCCGGGGACCTCCCACGGCCCTTTTGGGTCTGTGCTGGGAGCCCTTGGGGGGCCTCTTGGTTCCATTATGGGCTGTCTTGGGGCTCTCGTGGGCGATCGTGGGGCCCGGCTCGGCCGTCTTGAAGCTTTCTTGGGGGCCTTTTGGGGCGTCTTGAGGCGATCTCGGCTTTGAAACCGTCTTGAAAGCTGATGGAATCCGAAAGGCGAATATGCTAAAATTGTAAGTTTTACGAAGGGAATGGGACGATTTTTGTGCTTTGAAGGCCCCTTGGAAAGCTTTTTGGGGTGCCTTGGGGTCTTTATGTTGGCATTCGGAAACATCGTGGGGGTGTTTTCGGGGCCCTCGTGGGCCGTTTTGGCGCCTTCATGGGCCGTCCTGGGGCCTTCTTGGGCCGTCTTGGGGAGCTTGGGCCCGCTGGAGCCCCCTTTGGACCCATCTTGGGCACTTCCGGGGACCTCCCATGGCCCTTTTGGGTCTGTGCTGGGAGCCCTTGGGGGGCCTCTTGGTTCCATTATGGGCTGTCTTGGGGCTCTCGTGGGCGATCGTGGGGCCGGGCTCGGCCGTCTTGAAGCTTTTTTAGGGGCCTTTTGGGGCGTCGGAGGCGATCTCGGCTTTGAAACCGTCTTGAAAGCTGATGGAATCCGAAAGGCGAATATGCTAAAATTGTGAGTTTTACGAAGGGAATGGGACGATTTTTGTGCTTCGAAGGCCCCTTGGAAAGCTTTTTGGGGTGCCTCTGGGGTCTTTATGTTGGCATTCGGAAACATCGTGGGGGTGTTTTCGGGGCCCTCGTGGGCCGTTTCGGCGCCTTCATGGGCCGTCCTGGGGCCTTCTTGGGCCGTCTTGGGGAGCTTGGGCCCGCTGGAGCCCCCTTTGGACCCATCTTGGGCACTTCCGGGGACCTCCCATGGCCCTTTTGGGTCTGTGCTGGGAGCCCTTGGGGGGCCTCTTGGTTCCATTATGGGCTGTCTTGTGGGCGATCGTGGGGCCCGGCTCGGCCGTCTTGAAGCTTTCTTGGGGGCCTTTTGGGGCGTCTTGAGGCGATCTCGGGGGCTTTGAAACCGTCTTGAAAGCTGATGAAATCCGAAAGGCGAATATGCTAAAATTGTAAGTTTTACGAAGGGAATGGGACGATTTTTGTGCTTTGAAGGCCCCTTGGAAAGCTTTTTGGGGTGCCTTGGGGGTCTTTATGTTGGCATTCGGAAACATCGTGGGGGTGTTTTCGGGGCCCTCGTGGGCCGTTTTGGCGCCTTCATGGGCCGTCCTGGGGCCTTCTTGGGCCGTCTTGGGGAGCTTGGGCCCGCTGGAGCCCCCTTTGGACCCATCTTGGGCACTTCCGGGGACCTCCCATGGCCCTTTTGGGTCTGTGCTGGGAGCCCTTGGGGGGCCTCTTGGTTCCATTATGGGCTGTCTTGGGGCTCTCGTGGGCGATCGTGGGGCCCGGCTCGGCCGTCTTGAAGCTTTCTTGGGGGCCTTTTGGGGCGTCTTGAGGCGATCTCGGGGGCTTTGAAACCGTCTTGAAAGCTGATGAAATCCGAAAGGCGAATATGCTAAAATTGTAAGTTTTACGAAGGGAATGGGACGATTTTTGTGCTTTGAAGGCCCCTTGGAAAGCTTTTTGGGGTGCCTTGGGGGTCTTTATGTTGGCATTCGGAAACATCGTGGGGGTGTTTTCGGGGCCCTCGTGGGCCGTTTTGGCGCCTTCATGGGCCGTCCTGGGGCCTTCTTGGGCCGTCTTGGGGAGCTTGGGCCCGCTGGAGCCCCCTTTGGACCCATCTTGGGCACTTCGGGGACCTCCCATGGCCCTTTTGGGTCTGTGCTGGGAGCCCTTGGGGGGCCTCTTGGTTCCATTATGGGCTGTCTTGGGGCTCTCGTGGGCGATCGTGGGGCCGGGCTCGGCCGTCTTGAAGCTTTTTTAGGGGCCTTTTGGGGCGTCTGGAGGCGATCTCGGCTTTGAAACCGTCTTGAAAGCTGATGGAATCCGAAAGGCGAATATGCTAAAATTGTAAGTTTTACGAAGGGAATGGGACGATCTTTGTGCTTTGAAGGCACCGTGGAAAGCTTTTTGGGGTGCCTTTGGGGTCTTTAAGTTGGCATTCGGAAACATCGTGGGGGTGTTTTCGGGGCCCTCGTGGGCCGTTTTGGCGCCTTCATGGGCCGTCCTGGGGCCTTCTTGGGCCGTCTTGGGGAGCTTGGGCCCGCTGGAGCCCCCTTTGGACCCATCTTGGGCACTTCGGGGGACCTCCCATGGCCCTTTTGGGTCTGTGCTGGGAGCCCTGGAGGGCCTCTTGGTTCCATTATGGGCTGTCTTGGGGCTCTCGTGGGCGATCGTGGGGCCGGGCTCGGCCGTCTTGAAGCTTTTTTAGGGGCCTTTTGGGGCGTCTGGAGGCGATCTCGGCTTTGAAACCGTCTTGAAAGCTGATGGAATCCGAGAGGCGAATATGCTAAAATTGTAAGTTGCACGAAGGGAATGGGACGACTTTTGTGCTCTGAAGGCCCCTCGGAAAGCTTTTTGGGGTGCCTTGGAAGTCTTTTGGGCCGTCCTGACGCAATTGGAGTCCCTCTTGGAGCGCTCTTGTGCTGCCTGGGGCCTCCCTTGAGCCTTTTTGATGACCCCTCGGATCGCTCTGGGTCTGCTGGGAAGGCGTTTGTGGAGACCCGGAAAGCCGGGTGAGCTTTTCCAAGGACGTCCAAGGGAGCCCGAGAACCCCAGATCCCGGGGGTCCAGTTTTGGAGGGGGGGATGGTTTCCCCCCCCCCCCGGGCTTGTAAAAAGATAGGAAGAGGGATACCGTTGCCCTCCGCCAATGCCGCCACCGTGCACGGGTTTTGGTTGAGAGGCAGATTCCATGTTTCTTGGGATGTCTGTATTTCGGGTTTCTCGTGGGTTCCTCTTGGGATCTACCCGAGACGTCTTGGGGCATCTTTAAACATATTGCGGCATCGTCGGGGCATGGTCGCAATCACGGGGGCCATCGTGGCACAAGGGGGCTCCGTGGTGCCATTTCGAGTTCTCCCCCGCAGGGCCGAACACACGTCATGGAGTTGAGCAGGAAAACACAGCTTGCGCATTGTGTTTGATTCACAGGATGGCGCCGCAGCGCCGACCCCTTGGTCCTATTTCAGTCGGGTCTTCGAATGTGAATCGATGGCTCGAAGTTTCAGAAGCGAGAACAATGAGCTCTGGGGCGTATGGGGGGGGGAGAATTGGTACATCGGTGGTTCGAAGTTTCAAAAGCGAGAACATTGAGCTCTCGGGCTAACGTGGGGGGAGAACTGGTATACCTACGCGCTTGGAGGCGCGCTGCATCGTCAACCGTCTGCGCGGACGGAGGCCCCGCGACGGAAGGTAAGGCATAGCAGCACCGCGTCGCCCAAAAACATATATGCATCCATAGTCGTACGCATGAACAACGCCTCCTCCTCCTCCTCCGCCTCCTCCTCTTCACACATACGTACGTACATGTATGGATAGTGTTCACCTTTGGTTCCTCCGGTATTTTCCCGTGTTAGGCTTTGCTCTCGAATCCCGCGGTTCTGATTTGGCCGATCCCTTGTCAAGAAGAACGAAGACCGCATTGGCTGTGCTTCTGCATGCGCTGCGGGGAGGTATTGCACATCACGGTGGCTCCGAAACACGACTCGTCTTCGTAATTAGCAGCGCAAGTCGTGCTATGTGTTGTGCAGGCGGGGCCTGGCGGGGCGCTGTCTCTTCCTTTCCTGTCCATGTCTAGCGAAGGGTGCGGAATGTGATGGCAGAACACGGAATGATCGTGTCGGGACGTTTGCGTGTGAGAATTGCCAGCGCATGTCGACCATCTCGGTACATACATGTTCGTGTCAGGGCCGACGAGGGCGCGTGTCTGTCCGAGTGGTGACGAGCATGGGCTGTAGGCCGTATCGAGTTGGGGCCGTTGTTTCCGATGGTGGGCCAGTGGTGGTGGCGGCGTATGCAGATAACTGAGTTGGATGTAGGCGCTGTTTCGTTCGCCCCCAGGGCATAGGCGGAAGGCATGTCAGACGATTGCGTGTGCTCGAAGCCAGCTGAAGAGACACGGCAGGCGCCGCAGCACCGTCATGAAATTGGTTGCCGGGTTGGGGGGGGGGCATAACGGCACCCCGCGTTTTTTTCTTAATTTTTGTTTCGTTATGTTGAAGATGGTGACAGCGATGACTATGTTTTGGGCTCTCTGTGATGGAGATGATGGCGACACAGATGACGATTGCTATCTCGGGCTCCCGGGCATCCCCGCACCCTCGAAAACACGCATGGCGATGCAGAGATGATGGCGCGTGCGTGCTTCTGTTTGTCTCTGTCGTCATAGCCGTTTCATAATACATGCTTTTGGCCCGCGCTGCCCGCAGCTCATCCGAATCGCTTCGTGGTGTTTTTCATCGGGTTCCCTTTGTGAGACTGTCCAATGAAATCGCTTTATAGTTCTTGCCAAAGGATTCCTGTTATGAAGCTTTCCAATCGAGTCCTGTTGTGAGGCTGTCCAATAGAATCCTCCGTTTGTGGCGCTTTCCAAAGGTTTCTTTTTGTGAGGCTTTCCATGTAATCCCTAGTGGTTCTTTCCAACATATTCCCATTGTGAGGCAGGAAGGTGCAGTGTAGAAGAGAAGGAAAGTAGAGTGGAGTAGGCGGATAAGTAGGAATCTTCACAATGGACTGGAGATTCTATTGTAAGCCCTCACGCTATGAACCCGTTAGAAAGCGCCCCAAAGGGATTCTATTGTAAAGCGTCACAGAAGGGATCTGTTGGAAAGCCTCACAAAGGGATTCGATCGGAAAGCCTCATACCAGGAATCCAGGGGAATCACCACGAAGGGATTCGATTGGACGGCCTTACACAAGAGATCTGTTGGACAGCACCACAAATGGAATGCCTCACAACAGGAATCTTTTGGAAAGCACAACAAAGGGATTCGATGGGAAAAACTCACACTAGGAATCCTTTGCGGGAGGCTTACGAAGCGATTATTTATGGCTCTCGCGGCTGGCTCCCTGCTCCCTCCCTGTCCTCTCCTCCTCGTTCCCTTTTCCATTCGCTGCCTCCTCCTCCTCCGTCTCCTCTTCCGTCTCCGCCCTCCTCCTCCTCGTCCTCCTCCGTTTCTGCCTTCTTCCTCCTGTTCTTCCTCCTCCCCTCCTCCTCCTCCTCCTCATCCTCCTCCCCTAACTCTAAAGGACGCCTAGCACTGTGGGAAAACCTTCAGGAACAAAAGCATTTGAAGCGCTGACACTTTAGGACAACCATTGGAACAACACCAACAAATTTTCGTTATGCTGTTTTTTCTATTGTTTTTTGTTTTCCAGCACCCAGCTGGAGAAAGAAGGAGAGGTGGATAATGCGAATGAGGATGGCGGGAAATGATGAGAGGAAGGAAGTTGAGGATCATGAAGGCGAGGAGGAAGAGGAGGAGGACGAGCACGAGGAGGACGAGGAGGAATGATACCCTTGATAATCGACTCCCTCTGATGCGTTCTTGTTCACGGGTGCGTTGGTGCCCGACCGCCCATCTACCTACAAAAAAACAAAGATTCCGGGGAACGCCGTCCGAAAGGAGATGTCCGGGGGGGGCATTCTCTGTGGGAGCGGTATTTGTTTTGTTGTTTTGGTTGTTGTCCAAGGTTCCAGCCTCCAGCACTTCAGTTCCTTTGGCTTGTTCGGTTTTTTTCATTTTGTTTTGTGGTCCCCGACCGCCAACTTAAGGAATGTATGTCGACTTCGCTCACAAATCGAAATCGGTGGCCACCACGCCGAAGAACGCAGAGACGGAGGATGAGGAGAAGGAGGACGACAAGGAAGGGAAGTGGAGATGAGGGAAGGAACGGAGGACTGAAACGGTTCACCCCGACGGCCCGAAACCAAACCATCCGAAGACGAAAAACTAAAAAAACGCGGGGTCCCGTTGTTGCCACCATTCCCGTTCGATCAGTCTTGCACCTAAGCATTGTTAAGAGGCATCGCGTGATTTGAAAGGTGTGATGCGTTTCGTGTGCAGATTGGCTGTTTGTAGACATCTTGGTGCGACTCGGTTCTTTTCTTGATTATGTTGTCGTCAGGGAGTGGCGGGATATGTGAGACATCGTTCGTGTCCAGAATAGATGCCAGGGAATTGGCAATCCGTTATATACAGTGTTTGTCGGGTTCATGCTGATATCCGTTGCCGTGAACAATGAAGTACCTGTACCACGAGAGTCACTTGCATTTCTGGAAAAGGATCCATGGACAGTGTGCGTGTATATTTTGCTGTAGCATGTAATCGGCCTTCCTTGACACAGGGCGGGCAGGTGTGCAAGTTCTGTTCGCTGTAGTACTGGTCCTGTCATGAGCACGTCTTTCTCAGCAATGCCATTGCATGACTTGGCGCCAATCGCCAACGGAGTGGCGCGCCTGGGAATTGTGTTTCGGAGGTGTGGTCGCACGCGCACAGCCTTCTTTGTATTGCCAGGTAGTTAGCGACTCTGCATGATTCGGAAGGGTCTGACCACTCCTCTTGCTCTCGTGCAGGGACAGGCGTGACTAGAAATAACCTTTGCGCAAGGGTGAGGGGCAACGTCACGATATTGCAGCGCGTATGGGCCGTCGGAAGGGTTAACGCGCCATCACGTCCCCGAATGCGATCTCCGTCGATCCATCGGGATCGGTCGTTGCGTAGTAGCGTATCTGATGGTTGGAGTTTTCCCAGAGCCGGTGTCGAAACGAACATGCTTACCAGGTCACAGTGCTGTTTGCACGAGTCTGGCGTCGGCCTTTCACACCTGTGCTTGTCGTCGAGGTTACCTTTTGTTCAGTTGCGCTGCCTACAGAAAAGTGTAGTAGACGAAGTCTTCCAGTTGTTGCCAGGCTAGCACAGATGATTCGGTTCATCAGGCTTTGTCTGAATCAAGCCGTGGGTCTTTATATCTTCTGCTGCACACAAGGTCGAGTGGACCTCATGCAAGGCAGGGTAGGCAGTGGTTGTTTCTACACAGGTGACATTTAAATGATGTATCGTATTTCAAGTTTAGGTGCGTACTAGCTCGTTGAGCCCCGTGGCTAGTGCCACGGTGTCGGTGGATGGTGCCATTACAGTGGGGGTCACGTTGTCGCAACCGCGTGGCGTCGTAGTGCCACAGAACTTTCGTTGTGTCCTCTGGTTGTCTAGTTCACTATGCCGGTCGCGTGAAGAGAAGGTCGCGTGTGTGTTTGTGAAGCACGTGCAGTGGGCCCGACGCGGTTCCGATTAGAAGCGCTGTGCTGAAAGCAAATAATTGGCTGAAGATGTGGAATCCGTTGAAAAAGCAGCTTGATAGTGAAACGCGCGACGCTTGTGACTGGATTGTGTCGTCTTGTTGATTGTATCTCGTTTCGTTGCGACTCGCTTTGCTCTGCAGTGCCTTGCATTGTTCATGCTGTGCTGTATATTTAACGCAGTTAAGTATGTCTTTAGTTTGCTTCAATCTGGCTTTACCATGCAGCCGAACCCTCACCTGCACAGCAGCGGCCAGTTCATAGCTGCCCCTGTGCGGAGGGAGGGCCTATGCGACGGGCTTCCCACAGGCGTGTGTCATATATTCGTCTGTTTGGGTTACAGCGAAACAGAATCATAAGGATGAGTCGTGCTCCAAGGCCACCTTGCCTTCTATCCGTGCGCATTCGGCCCATCCTCAGAAGCTATAGTTGGCAATCTTCGCTCAAACGGCTTTTGGTTAGGGCGTCCACGATCCTTGCGTCCTTACCATGCAACCCTCGGATCCTGTCGAGTTGTATTCGTGCAGTGGAAGCCCATGCCAAGACACACCCTGCGTGCCTCCAGGGTGCCCTGGGTTTCTTGGGTCTCGACGGTGCTGCTATGGAAAGCGCGACGTCCCCACACCAAAAACCAACGAACGCCCTGGGGTCTCAGGCTCGGGTTTCTTGTGGAAGGTTTCTTGTGGTCGAGCCCCTACTGTACGTGCTCTTCGCTCCGTTCCCCTCGTGCCCAGAGCCAGACCTGGTCTCGCCCAATGCGGCAGCCAGCGCCGGCGCCGCTCGTCTGCAAACGCCCCCTGGCGCGCGAAAAGGCGAGCTCACCCCTCCTGGCCCAGATCACCACCCTTCTACCCCTCCTCCTCCTCCTGCTCCTGCTCCTCCTCCTCCTCCCCCTCCTCCTCCTCCTCCTCCTCCTCCTCCTGCTCCTCTCCTCCTCCTCCTCCTCCTCCTCCTCCTCCTCCTCCTCCTCCTCCTCCTCCTCCTCCTCCTCCTCCTCCTCCTCCTCCTCCTCCTCCTCCTCCTCCTCCTCCTCCTCCTCCTCCAGTTGGCATTTTGGCTCACGCGCCGCCGCCGCTGGGTCGCCCCGCCGACCCGCCGCCTCGCCGATGCCGCCGACGACCGACGCCCGCTCCGCGAAGGCGACGCTGGACGCTGCGCGCGGCGCAGTGCTGGCGACGCACGCGGCGGCTGGGCTTGCGAGCGGCCAGCGGGAGGCGGTACGCCTCATCCGCGCCGCCGAAGGCCTGCTGCGCACGGCGGTGGCTGTGCTCGCCACGCCCTCCTCCCCCGCGCTCGTCGCGGCGCCCCTGGCGGATCCAGCGGCTTCCTCGCGCAGGAGGCGGCGGCCCCGCGGCCGCGGCGGCTCGAAGGGCGGGGACGAGAACGGCAAGCACTACATCGTCGCTGACGGCATGGACA